CTGGGACTCAAACCTCAGTCAGCCATGTGGGAGTCCAGCGCCCTTAACCACCATGCCACCTGCCGCCCCCCCCACCCCCGTTTTATTTTATAACTCTCTTTAAGAGTTTTTTTTTTTTTTCTATAGGGCATGTGCACTTACAGAGAGAGAGAGACAGAGACAGAAAGTGAGAAATCAGCCCCCTCCCCCGCCCCCAGAGATGGCCACACCGTAAATCCTTTTCCCTTTTCCTCTCAAGATTTTGGGCACACATGCACATGGGTAGGGCATCAGTTTCAAGCCACTGGGTCACGGACTCGAACTGCAGTCAGCCATGTGGGAGTCCAGAGACATAACCATCACGCCATCTGCTGGTCCCAAGAACTCCTGACTTACGACTTCTGACCCTTGATCAGGTTCTAAGATGGCTCTAGGATGCCATCACTGGTACATCCAATCCCTGACATCTGGCTTTTCATTCTGGACTCCACAACCTCTATGACCCAGCAACTGGGGGACCAGGGACACACATCTTCCCATCTTCCATGCCTGTCGTCTGACCCTTGACCTCTGTGACTTCTCATCCTATTTACTTTTTTTTTTTTGAGAGGTTTTTTTCACTGTAGGGCGCGTGCGCTCGCGAGAGAGACAGAGAGATAGAAAGCAAGAAATCACCCCCCAGGGGGGATGGCCACGCCGCATCCCTTCTCCTCCATTCTCCTCCCGAGATCTTGGGCATGCACGCACACGCGCCCGGCGTGAGTTTTAAGCCACCGGGTCCGGGACGTGAACCGCGGTCGACTACGTGGGAGTCCAGTGACATAGCCATTACGCTAACTGCTGGTTCCCTCATCCTATTTACTGTAACTGCCCTTGGCTCAGTTCCCTCCTCTGCCCCAGCACCACAGCGCTGGCCCCCACTGTGCCCCTCCTCTGATGGGGCTCCCCGGGGCCCCCAGGATTCAGTCTCAGCTTCTCATCTTTCTGCATTTCCTGCCCCAAGTGGATTTTCTGTGGTTTCCCTGAACCACCCCACCTCGCAGCTCCACACTGCACTGCCATTCTCTGCTGGAAATGCCCTCCCTCCGCGGGTCAGCACCTGCCATAACAGCGCACCGCTCTGACCAGTGACAGCACCAAGTCCGTTTCTGGCTGCATGGCCTCTGGCTGTCAGTTTTCTCATTCCGGAAATGAGAATGAATGAAAGAGCACTCCTGCCTTGCTCTTTGAAAGGATGAAATATTGTAGATAAAAAACCAGGATAGAGGTAGCTGATGTACCAGAGATCTTCCAAAAGCTCAAGGAGGGGCTGGCAGGTGGCATGGTGGTTAAGATGCTGGACTCCCACATGGCTGACTGCAGTTCAAGTCCCAGACCTGGCAGCTTGCTTTCTCACTTTCCTTCCCTCTCTCTGTCTCTCTCTGGTCAACTTCAAAAAAATAATGACAATGAATTAAATTAAATTAATTCTTAAAAAAAAAAACAAAAAAAACCTATGCACGGGGACTAGCAGGTGGTGTGGTGGTCAAGGATTATGGTCCCACATGGCTGACTAGTTTGAGTCCCGGACCTGGTAGCTTGCTTTCTCACTTTCCCTCTTTATTTATTTTAATTTGACCAGAGAGAGACAGAGTAAGTGACTGAGTGAGATAGAGAGAGAGGGAAAGCGAGAAAGCAAGCTGCCAAGTCTAGGACTCGAACTGTGGTTAGCCGTGTGAGGGTCAGCACCCTTAACCACCATGCCATCTTCTGGCTCCAAGTTAAATAAAATAATTCTAAAAGAAAGAAAACTGTACATGGAGAGGCCAGTAAGTGGCTTGGTGGTTAAAATGTTGTACTCCCACATGGCTGACCACAGTTCAAATCCCACACTTGGTGGCTTGATTTCTCATTTCCCCCTCTCTTCCTGTTTCTCTCTAGTGAGTGCACGGAGCCTACAGAAAACGTTTTAAAATACAAGACCAGCAGATGGCATAATGATTACATTGCTGGACTTCCACGTGACCGGCTGCGGTTTGAGTCCCAACTCAGTGGCTTGAAACTCATGCTGGGTACATGTGCGTGTGTGGACAAAATCCCAAGAGGAGAGTGAAGGAGCAGGGATTGCAGCATGGCCATATCCTCAGGAGGTGGTTTCTCCCTTTCTGTCTCTCTGTTTCTGTCTCTGGTGAGTGCACACACCCTATAGCAAAAATCTCTCTAAAATAAGTAAATAAAATCAAGTAAATAATTCCTTTTTTTAAGAGAGATTTTTGCTATAAGGAACGTGTGCTCACCAGAGACACACAGAGGAGGTGAAAAAGCACCCCATAAGCGAACTGGCCATGCCGCGGTCCCTCCTATACTCTCTCGGGATTTGGGGCATGCACACATGCACCCGGCATGACGTTGAGGGGCCACGGTCGACCACGTGGGAGTCCAGCTTCTTAACTGCTATGCCACCCGCGGGCCCTAAACTCGTACTTTAATTCCAGTTTTCCACAAGCTCTTTGAAGTCCCCTCGTATTTTGTAAGACATCATTTACTGTACATTGTGAACTTAAAAAACAAATTCTATATACAAGCCACATATACAAATTGAGGCATGTTAGTATTCATTCCGTGAAAGTCTCAGTGTCCCCGGGGTTCGAACCCCCTCTGACTCAGCCTGCCTGGCGTGTCCTCCATTAAAGCACATGTCATGGTGACCTGTCCTTCCCAGGTGAGGAGTTTCACGACGTGGAGGACGCTGAGACCTACAAGAAGATGCTGGCTCGGGACGAGCGTCGTTTCCGGGTGGCAGACCAGGATGGGGACTCGATGGCCACTCGGGAGGAGCTGACGGCCTTCCTGCACCCCGAGGAGTTCCCTCACATGCGGGACATCGTGATTGCGGTGCGCGAGGGCTGCAGGCTCCGGGTGCCAGCTCCCGCCTCCCCGCGCTGGCGGGGGGAAGCCGTGGTTCTCCTGCACCGCCCCGGGAGCCCGGCCATGGACTCGGGCAGAGGACCGGTGCCCTGCTCAACCCTGCCCCAGGGTCTACTCTCCTGACCAGACCTCCCCTCCCTGCGTTCACACTAGGGGTACAGGCCTCCAGCCTGCCCTCAGACAACCACCCCCAGAAGTGTCTCTGGAGCGCTGATCCTGGCAGAAGCCAAGAAACCCCAGTTCCACACTTGGACTGTCCACCCTGACCCCTCTTCCTTCATGACGCCTGAACCAGCTCTATTCTGAAGTGGAAGGACTTTTTCTTCTTTCCCTTTATTTTTCTTTTAATTTGTCAGAGGGCCTGGGTACTTGCTGAGAGAGACAGAGAGAGAGGGAGGGAAAGCGAGGAAGCGCCCCACCCCCTGAGGGGACAGCCCCGCGCGATCCCTTCTCCATTCTCCTCTCGGGGTCTTGGGCATGCACGCACATGCACCTGGTGCGATTTTCAAGCCTTCTGGCCCAGGATTCGAACCACAGTTGGCCATGTGGGAGTCCAGTGCCATGGTGGTTACACCATGCCACCTGCTGGCACCAAGACCTGGCTTCTCTTGAGCAACCTGTTACTGCTTTTCTTCTTCTTCTTTCTTCTGTTTAACTTTGTTTATTTTATTTTGAGAGGGATAGAGGTGGGGGGTGGGAGGGACAGTGAGAGAGCAAGCCGCCAGGTCCAGGACTCGAACCATAGTTGGCCATGTGGGAGCCCAGCGCCCTTCACCACCACGCCACCTGCCGGCCCCCACTCCTTTTCTTTTTCACACAGGCTACTTTTTAGGCAGTTTCAGGTTCGCAGCGCACTGGAGTGGGTGGGGCGGCGATCTCCCACGTGGCCCCGCCCCGCGCCTGTGCAGCCCCCTGTCCTGGTCCTTTCTGCTGCCACCCATTTTGTGACTCTCATTTCTGGGATTGCTCCAAGGGTCATTGACAAGGCAATTAGGATCAGGGACTCTGAGGTCAGAAGATCTGGGTTCAAAGCCACTTCTTTTTTTTTTGGAGAGGTTTTCGCTATAAGGCGCGTGCTCTCGCCAGACAGACAGACAGAGACAGAGAGACAGAAAGCGAGAAATCACCCCCAGGGGGGATGGTCACGCCGCAATCCCTTCTCCTCCATTCTCCTCTCGGGATCTTGGGCACGCACGCACATGCGCCCGGTGTGAGTTTTAAACCACTGGGTCCGGGACGCGAACCGCGGTCGACTACGTGGGAGTCCAGCGACATAGCCATTACGCTAACTGCTGGTTCCCCAAAGCCACTTCTTGACTGGCACTTCATGGCTGCGTGACCTCAGGCAGGTTATGCCACGTCTCTGGACCGTAATCCCCTCATCTGTAAAATGTCAGTGCTGGTAATGGCTCCTTGCACTCCTCCCCACCCCCAGCCACCCGCCATGGGAGCCACACGCATCACCCCCGCCCCCGGCCTCAGTGCCTCTGTCCCCACAGGAAACCCTGGAGGACCTGGACAAGAACGGAGACGGCTACGTGCAGGTGGAGGAATACATCGGTGAGTGCCGCGGCCCCACGCCACCCGCCCCCAGACGGCTGCGCCACGGGCACACTCGGGGGTGGCGCAGGGACCTTCCCATGTGGCTGGGCCTCGGCCCATCCCGTGTGCGTGTTGTGCGGGGTGTAACCCGTCCCAGGGTGCGTTTGCTCACCCAGAGCCACAGAGGGGGGACAAGGACACACCCCCACGGCCGGCTGTGCCCGCGCTCCTCCTCCCCATCTTCCTTCTGCCGGCAAGGGCATCCGGCTGTCCCCCCACTGCCGCCCCAGGCCACCCACTGTATGAGGTGGCCTGAACAGGCAAGTCCGCAGAGACAGAGACGGAAAGCAGATTCAAGGCTGCCGACGGCCTGGGTGGGGAACGGGAAGTGGTTGGGCGTCCCCTTCACGGGTGACGGAAATGTCCCCCCCTGCAGCGGGTGGCGGTGCGCGGCACTGTGGGCGCACTAAATGTCGCTAGCGGGACATTTTATGTTCCGTGTTTTTTACCACAATAAAAAATTTTTTTTCTTTGACTTTATTTTGGCCAGAGAGGGAACGAGCAAGAGAGAGAGGAGAAAATGAGAGAGCAAGCTGCCAGGTCCAGGATTCGAATCACAGTTGGCCATGTGGCACCCTTAACCACCATGCCACTTGCTGGTCCCTTACCACAATTTTTAAAAAATAATTTACTTAATTTTATTTATTGTTATTTTTTTAATTTGGCTAGGGGTGGGGAGTGAAAAGCAAGCTGCCAGGTCTAGGACTTGAACCACCACACCACTTGCTGGCCCACCACAACTTAAAAAAAATCTGTCAGAGGACAGGGCTGCCAGGTGGCATGGTGGTTGGGGTGATTAAGGGTGTTGGACTCCCACATAGAGACCATGGTTTGAGTCCCCGACTTGGGGGTTGCTTTCTCACTTTCCCTCTCTCTCTATCTCTGTACCTTTCTGGTCTGTCTGTCTACATAAATAAAATAAATTCTTTTGTTTTTTTTCTTTTTTGAGAGGTTTTTGCTATAGGGCACGTGTGCTCACCAGAAAGACAGAGAGACAGAAAGTGAGAAATCACCCCCCAGGGGGGATGGCCACGCCGCAATCCCTTCTCCTCCATTCTCCTCTCGGGATCTTGGGCACACACACACACATGTGCTCTTCTGGTCCCTACATACATAATTCTTAAAAAACAAAAACGAAAACAAAAACACACACCTTGGGACTAGCAGATGGCATAATAGTTATGTTGCTGGACTCCCTCCCACATGTTCAACTGCAGTTCAAGTCTGGACCCAGAGGCTTAAAACTCACTGGGTGCATATATGTGTGTGCCTAAGATCCCAAGAGGGGAACGGAGGAGAAGGGACTGTGGCATGGCCATTTCCTCTGGGGGCGATTTCTCACTTTCTGTCTCTCTGTCTCTCTCTGGTGAGTGCACGCCCTCTGTCGCAAAAATCTCTAGTAAATAAGTACATAAGCAGGCAGGGCCGTGCTGAGTTTGTGAAGGCTGATTGTCTAATTTGCGAGAGGGTACATGTGCTTGTTGGACAGACAGAGCCCGAGAGAGAGGAAGAGGAGACAAGCACCTCCACGGGGTGTGGTCACACCACGACCCCCTTTCCAGCTCTCCCTCCCTCCTTTCAGGATTTTGAGCATGTACACACATGTGCCGTGTGCGTGTGTGTGTGCGTGTGTGTGTGCGTGTTTATTTACCTTTATGTATTAGTATTATTTTCCAGTTTGATCAGAGAGAGACAGAGAAAGAGAGGGAAGTGAGAAGGCAAGCTACTGGGTCTGGGACTTGAACCGCTGTCAGCCACATGGGAGTCCAGCACCTTTAACCACCATGCCACCTGCTGGCCCCACCAGGTGTTTTTTTTTAAGTGAACAAGTCTGGGACTTGAACTGTGCAGGAGGCTATATGGGACCCAATAAATACTTCTTTATTTAATTTAATTTATTATTATTATTTTAAAGTTTTTATAGAGTACATGCACTAACCAGAGAGAGAGAGAGAAAGCAAGCAAACCACCACATCCGGGAATTGAACCATAGTTGACCACGTGGGAGTCCAGCACCTTAACCACAGCACCACGCCACTTGCTGGCCCCTTCGTATCTGTCCTTGATGACACCTTGGTGGCAGCTGCCTGGCTGGCTGCTTAGGGGAGGAAGGCGCCCGCCCTAATTATCATGGCATGTCTGGTATAGGAAGACTCGCCACGGTGTGATGGCTTCCAGACCCGCCCAGGGCCAGGTTCTCCAAACATTTACAAACAAGAGGCTCAGCATTCAAGTTTCTTTCTCCCATGAGCAAGAGACAGAGAGAAAATGTGAGAGAGAGACAGCACCCCCAGCAGGGTCCCCCCATCATGATCACCCCAGCCTCACAGGCATGTGCGTGCCTGGTGCTCTCAGGGAGGTCTACGGACCTAAGTGGAGCCTGCCCACGGGGGACTACCTCACACAGCATTGCATCTCCCCTCCGCAGTCTCACCTCTGCGGTCTCACCTCTGCCGTCATACCTCCATAGTCTCACCTCCGCAGTCTCACCTCCGCAGTCTCACCTCCTCTGTCACACCTCCACTGTCTCACCTCCACTGTCTAACCTCCACGATCTCACCTCTACTATCTAACCTCCATGGTCTCACCTCCGTGGTCTCACCTATGCGGTCTCACCTCTGCAGTCTAACCTCCGCAGTCTCACCTCCACTGTCTAACCTCCATGGTCTCACCTCCGTGGTCTCACCTATGCTGTCTAACCTCCGCAGTCTCACCTCTGCAGTCTAACCTTCACAGTCTCACCTCCACTGTCTAACCTCCGCAGTCTCACCTCCGTGGTCTCACCTCTGCTGTCTAACCTCCGCAGTCTCACCTCCGTGGTCTCACCTATGCTGTCTAACCTCCGCAGTCTTACCTCTGCGGTCTAACCTCCACAGTCTCACCTCCACTGTCTAACCTCCATGGTCTCACCTCTGTGGTCTCACCTCTGCAGTCTCACCTCTGCCGTCACACCTCCGCTATCTCACCTCCACCATCTAACCTCCACAGTCTCACCTCCACCGTCTCACCTCCACAGTCTCACCTCCACCGTCTCACCTCTGCAGTCTCACCTCCGCGTCTCACCTCCGCGTTTCAACTCCCGCCTCCATCTGGCCCACTCACCTCCGCAATCTCACCTCCGCGTCTCACCCCGGCATTCTCCCCCCCGCGTCTCACCTCCACCATCTAACCTCCACAGTCTCACCTCCACCGTCTCACCTCTGCAGTCTCACCTCCGCGTCTCACCTCCGCGTCTCACCTCCCGCCTCCATCTGGCCCACTCCACCATCTAGAGGGAGGTGATAGCACGAGTCAAGCTGTTCTCAGGGTAGCTCTGAGGCACCTGTTCTGTCTGGCCGGAGGAATCTCCACTCGCTCCTTCATATGGGGAGCTGGCTGCGTGCCAGGCACCGCGTGACCCAGGACACACTATTTATCGCACGTGTGTACTGATCCATCGCTCGCTCAGTCGGCCCGCCAGATCAACTTCACGTGTCCCCTGACCATCCCTGTAGACTGGGTTTATTACTGACCCATTTGAACCGAAGAGGAAACTGAGGCCAAGAAAAGGGAAGTGAGTTGCCCAAGGTCATTCGTGGGCCCGGAAGTGTCGGTCTGGTCCCCAGCGCTGTGCCTGACCTGGCCCTGCTGTCCTGGTCCCCAGCCGACCTGTACTCGGAGGAGCCTGGGGCGGAGGAGCCGGCCTGGGTGCAGACGGAGCGGCAGCAGTTCCGGGACTTCCGGGACCTGAACAAGGACGGGCGGCTGGACGGGAGCGAGGTCGGCCACTGGGTGCTGCCGCCCTCCCAGGACCAGCCGCTGGTGGAGGCCAACCACCTGCTGCAGGAGAGCGACACAGACAAGGTGGCCCTGGGGCTGTGCGGGCAGACGGCAGGACGCTGGGCAGGCCCTGCTTGGGGAGAGGGACAGAGGACGGGGCAGGACAGACTCCTGGGGAGGACGGTGGGGAGCTCTGAGGGAGGGGTCCCAAGCAGGGCCCGCGTGGCCCCGCTGACCTCTACCCTCCCTCCAGGATGGACGTCTGAGCAAAGCCGAGATCCTGGGCAACTGGAACATGTTCGTGGGCAGCCAGGCCACCAACTACGGCGAGGACCTGACCCGGCACCACGACGAGCTCTGAGCGGCCCGACAGCCTCGTGGCCCAGGGGATGACCTGAGGGGCCGGCAGCAGGCCCCTTCTCTGTGCTGGTCCTGCGGGAGGTGCACAGAGCCCCCACCCTTCTGCCTGGGGCTCTCAGGGGCCCCAAATTCACGTCTCTCCAGAGACAGCCCCAGGCCCCGAACCTGACCCTGGGGCTCTCACAGACAGCAGAGAGTGAGTGACAGGTTTCTCAACGGCAGAGCCTCCCAGCACAGGCCCAGGTTCAGTCCCAGGATCCTCCCCCTGGCTCAGCCTCGGGGAACCTCCACTCCTGCCCCAACACCCAGCCTGAGCCTCAATCCACAGTCCACGCAGACTGAGACCTCTCCAGCCCGCCCTGTCCCGAGGACACCTCCCCTCTGCCAGGAGGGCAATAAAACCCAGCGGGGGCCTGTCGGTGTGTCGGTGTGTCCGTGGGTGTGTCCGTGTCTCCGGTGGCAGGCCTGGGGAAGGTGTTCTGGCTGGGAGAGGAGCATGCTGGGAGCTGGAGGGCTGAGGCACGAAGCAGGGACGAGGCAGGGTGGTGGTGGGGGTGCACTGGGTGTCGTGGTTTGAGGGCTTTCCTGGAGATGAAAAATCAAACTAGCAGGCTGGGCCCGCAGCCCGCACGCCAGGAAGCCCTGCCCTCCCAGAGCTCCGCAGGGAGGAGGCATCTAAAATGTATCTGTGAGCAGGGAGGGCGTGGTGGTGTTCTGAGACCTGGTGGCTGGGAGGTCCTCAGAGGTGACCTGGAGGGAGAGTGTCCGGGGAGTGGGAACAGCGAGTGCACAGGCCCTGAGGCCCACGTGTGATGGAGCCCCCGAGTGGAGAGCGGGTGGGAGCGGAGACAGGGACCGGCCGGATGATGCAGGGCCTCACTGGGGGCCACGGGGGTCCTTTCCAGTGGGACGAGACAGGGAGGGGGGCAAAAACCCAGAGAGAGAAGGGTACCGAGACTCAGGGGTGGGGAGCAGAGACCCAGAGAGGGACAGGATTCGTTCTGAGGCCGAGTTATTAGAGCCTGCTGCTCAGGGCTCAGGCATTTGGGCAAGTGACCATCACCTGCCTGTCAGCAGCCAGCCCCCCGCGGCTAAACGGGCCTTAAAGGGGACACACCTCAGGTCTGTGCCGGCGGTCCCGCCCGTAAATCCAAACCCAGATCTAAGAACAAGGCCCCTGGAGGAAGTCCCAGCGGCCTGGCTCATGGCAGCCCCAAGCTGGAGGCGGCCCTTGAACTCAACAGAAGCAGGACGAACGTGTCGGGGAGACCCTGCCCAGGGGGAGCAGGTGCCGGGAGCCTAGTGGTGGGGGGCGGATCCCACATGGCTGACCATGTCGTTTGCATCCTGGCCCTGGCGGCCTGGAAAACACTCCGCGCGTGTGTGTGGGTGTGCCCTAAATCAGACAGGACAGAAGTGGAGAAAGATTCGGACCCTATTGGGACATGCTTTCTGTCTGTCTGTACCCTCTAGCAGGTGCCTCTGGCATATAAAGTAAGTGTAGGTGGCATAATGGTTAATGCACTGGACTCCCACATGGCTGACTGTGGTTCAAATCCCGGATCTGGCAGCTTGAAACACACACTGGGCGCGTATGTGTGTGCCTAAAATCCTGAGAGGAGAATGGAGCAGAAGGGATTGCAGTGTGGCCACTCCCTGGGGGAGTGATTTCTCATTTTCTGTCTCTCTGTATCTCCAGTGAGCGCACATGCCCTAGAGCAAAACTCTGAAAAAGAGGCTGGCAGGTAGTGTGGTGGTTAAAGATGCTGGACTCCCACATGGCTAACTGTGGTTCGAGTCTCGGATCTTGTGACTTGCTTTCTTGCTTTCCCTTTCTCTGGTCAAATAGAATAATAAATAAGTAAATAAAAATAAATAATAAAGTTAAATAAATTAATTTTTGAGAGCTTTTTGCTATAGGGCACGTGTGCTTGCCAGAGAGACACAGAGAGAGAGAAACCAAGAACTCCCTCCCGGGGGTGATGGCCATGCCACAATCCCTTCTCCTCCTGGGAACTTGGGCATGCACACACATTCTCCTGGTGTGAATTTAAAGCCACTGGATCTGGGGCTCGAACAACAGTCAGCAATGTGGGAGTCCAGCAATGTAGCCGCTACAACATCTGCT